TCTATAAGCACCCACTGAGTCTATGGAGAAGACATTAGACGTTGGTGTGAATTTCTCTTTTGTCTGTGACTCCAGAAGTTTATATTGTTTCTCTAGTTTATACTTGCTCTTAGCAATTCTTTACAGACTTTACTTGAAATCTTTTAAATCATATTCTGGGGGTAATCCGCTTCAGTGAGCAAGCTCTCATGTTCTTCATTTTTTGGAGGTTCCTGTCTTTTCTTATATTTGTAGGTAGGTGGCTGACTTGTGACCTTAGCTTTCCAATGAGTTCAAGAAACTGAATATTTGCAGTTTGCCATGTGTTTTTCTGTGTATTTGTTTTGTGTGGGATGATTTTCTTTATATATTTCTACACCTTAAGCAGAAGCCATTCTTCTTTTAATAACATATTTAATTTCTTTAAGAGATATAGAAATACTTATATTTTCTGCTAATTCTTGTGTCAATTTTGGTAAGTTAAATTTTTGAGAGAATTTTTCCATTTTATGTAAGTTGTGAAATGTTTTGGCATATACATGTTGACAAAATTTTTATATTATTTTAACGTTTCTTGGATCTGTAGTGACAACTTCTTTTTCATTTATTCTGTATAATTGGGCTTACATTGTTCCCTTTTCTAAGGTTCTTAGAGCATAATTTTAAGTCATAGATTTAAACATTTCTTCTTTTCTACAATAAGTATTTGGATACAAATTTCTTTCGAAGTCATTGTTTTGTTGTGTTCCACAAAATTTGATATATAGAAATGATTTCCAATTATTCTTATTGTTCATTCTTTGATGCATACACAATCTAGAATTATGTTGCTTTACTTCCACATATTTGGAAATATCCTAAATAGCTTATTTTATAGATTTCCAGTTTAATCACCTTGTGGTGAGAAATATACTCTGAAGAATTTAAGTGTTTTTAAACACATCAATATTTGTTTTATGGCCTAGCATATGGTTTATATGTATGAATGTATCATATATACTTGAAAAAATGTGTATTTTTCAGTTATCTTATGACGTGTTCTATAAATATCAATTTAGTCGATGGAATGGTGGTATTGTTCAGATCATGTATGACTTTGCTAATTTTTCCCTGTGTTCTATCAGTTGCTGACAGACTGGTGTAAAAACGTTCTCCTCAAAAAAAAGCAGGGGTTGCAATACTAGTCTCTGATAAAACAGACTTTAAACCATCAAAGATCAAAAGAGACAAAGAAGGCCATTACATAATGGTAAAGGGATCAATTCAACAGGAAGAGCTAACTATCCTAAATATATATGCACCCAATACAGGAGCACCCAGATTCATAAAGCAAGTCCTTAGAGACTTACAAAGAGACATAGACTCCCATACAATAATAATGGGAGACTTCAACACTCCACTGTCAACATTAGACAGATCAACGAGACAGAAAGTTAACAAGGATATCCAGGAATTGAACTCATCTCTGCAGCAAGCAGACCTAATAGACATCTATAGAACTCTCCACCCCAAATCAACAGAATATACATTCTTCTCAGCACCACATCGCACTTACTCCAAAATTGACCACATGATTGGAAGTAAAGCACTCCTCAGCAAATGTACAAGAACAGAAATTATAACAAACTGTCTCTCAGACCACAGTGCAATCAAACTAGAACTCAGGACTAAGAAACTCAATCAAAACCGCTCAACTACATGGAAACTGAACAACCTGCTCCTGAATGACTACTGGGTACATAACGAAATGAAGGCAGAAATAAAGATGTTCTTTGAAACCAATGAGAACAAAGATGCAACATACCAGAATCTCTGGGACACATTTAAAGCAGTGTGTAGAGGGAAATTTATAGCACTAAATGCCCACAAGAGAAAGCAGGAAAGATCTACAATTGACACTCTAACATCGCAATTAAAAGAACTAGAGAAGCAAGAGCAAACACATTCGAAAGCTAGCAGAAGGCAAGAAATAACTAAGATCAGAGCAGAACTGAAGGAGATAGAGACACAAAAAACCCTCCAAAAAATCAATGAATCCAGGAGTTGGTTTTTTGAAAAGATCAACAAAATTGACAGACTGCTAGCAAGACTAATAAAGAAGAAAAGAGAGAAGAATCAAATTGACGCAATTAAAAATGATAAAGGGGATATCACCACCGACCCCACAGAAATACAAACTACCATCAGAGAATACTATAAACACCTCTACGCAAATAAACTGGAAAATCTAGAAGAAATGGATAATTTCCTGGACACTTACACTCTTCCAAGACTAAACCAGGAAGAAGTTGAATCCCTGAATAGACCAATAGCAGGCTCTGAAATTGAGGCAATAATTAATAGCCTACCAACCAAAAAAACTCCAGGACCAGATGGATTCACAGCCGAATTCTACCAGAGGTACAAGGAGGAGCTGGTACCATTCCTTCTGAAACTATTCCAATCAATAGAAAAAGAGGGAATCCTCCCTAACTCATTTTATGAGGCCAACATCATCCTGATACCAAAGCCTGGCAGAGACACAACAAAAAAAGAGAATTTTAGACCAATATCCCTGATGAACATCAATGCAAAAATCCTCAATAAAATACTGGCAAACCGGATTCAGCAACACATCAAAAAGCTTATCCACCATGATCAAGTGGGCTTCATCCCTGGAATGCAAGGCTGGTTCAACATTCGCAAATCAATAAACATAATCCAGCATATAAACAGAACCAAAGACAAGAACCACATGATTATCTCAATAGATGCAGAAAAGGCTTTTGACAAAATTCAACAGCCCTTCATGCTAAAAACGCTCAATAAATTCGGTGTTGATGGAACGTACCTCAAAATAATAAGAGCTATTTATGACAAACCCACAGCCAATATCATCCTGAATGGGCAAAAACTGGAAAAATTCCCTTTGAAAACTGGCACAAGACAGGGATGCCCTCTCTCATCACTCCTATTCAACATAGTGTTGGAAGTTCTGGCTAGGGCAATCAGGCAAGAGAAAGAAATCAAGGGTATTCAGTTAGGAAAAGAAGAAGTCAAATTGTCCCTGTTTGCAGATGACATGATTGTATATTTAGAAAACCCCATTGTCTCAGCCCAAAATCTCCTTAAGCTGATAAGCAACTTCAGCAAAGTCTCAGGATACAAAATTAATGTGCAAAAATCACAAGCATTCTTATACACCAGTAACAGACAAACAGAGAGCCAAATCATGAATGAACTTCCATTCACAATTGCTTCAAAGAGAATAAAATACCTAGGAATCCAACTTACAAGGGATGTAAAGGACCTCTTCAAGGAGAACTACAAATCACTGCTCAGTGAAATAAAAGAGGACACAAACAAATGGAAGAACATACCATGCTCATGGATAGGAAGAATCAATATCGTGAAAATGGCCATACTGCCCAAGGTTATTTATAGATTCAATGCCATCCCCATCAAGCTACCAATGACTTTCTTCACAGAATTGGAAAAAACTGCTTTAAAGTTCATATGGAACCAAAAAAGAGCCCGCATCTCCAAGACAATCCTAAGTCAAAAGAACAAAGCTGGAGGCATCATGCTACCTGACTTCAAACTATACTACAAGGCTACAGTAACCAAAACAGCATGGTACTGGTACCAAAACAGAGATATAGACCTATGGAACAGAACAGAGTCCTCAGAAATAATACCACACATCTACAGCCATCTGATCTCTGACAAACATGAGAGAAACAAGAAATGGGGAAAGGATTCCCTATTTAATAAATGGTGCTGGGAAAATTGGCTAGCCATAAGTAGAAAGCTGAAACTGGATCCTTTCCTTACTCCTTATACGAAAATTAATTCAAGATGGATTAGACTTAAATGTTAGACCTAATACCATAAAAATCCTAGAAGAAAACCATTCAGGACATAGGCATGGGCAAAGACTTCATGTCTAAAACACCAAAAGCAACGGCAGCAAAAGCCAAAATTGACAAATGGGATCTCATTAAACTAAAGAGCTTCTGCACAGCAAAAGAAACTACCATCAGAGTAAACAGGCAACCTACAGAATGGGAGAAAATTTTTGCAATCTACTTATCTGACAAAGGGCTAATTTCCAGAACCTACAAAGAACTCCAACAAATTTACAAGAAAAAAACAAACAACCCCATCAAAAAGTGGGCAAAGGATATGAACAGACATTTCTCGAAAGAAGACATTCATACAGCCAACAGACACATGAAAAAATGCTCATCATCACTGGCCATCAGAGAAATGCAAATCAAAACCACAATGAGATACCATCTCATGCCAGTTAGAATGGCAATCATTAAAAAGTCAGGAAATAACAGCTGCTGGAGAGGATGTGGAGAAATAGGAACACTTTTACACTGTTGGTGGGATTGTAAACTAGTTCAACCATTATGGAAAACAGTATGGCGATTCCTCAAGGATCTAGAACTAGATGTACCATATGACCCAGCCATCCCATTACTGGGTATATACCCAAAGGATTATAATTCATGCTGCTATAAAGACACATGCACACGTATGTTTATTGCGGCACTATTCACAAGAGCAAAGACTTGGAATCAACCCAAATGTCCATCAGTGACAGATTGGATTAAGAAAATGTGGCACATATACACCATGGAATACTATGCAGCCATCAAAAAGGATGAGTTTGTGTCCTTTGTAGGGACATGGATGCAGCTGGAAACCATCATTCTTAGCAAACTATCACAAGAACAGAAAACCAAACACCGCATGTTCTCACTCATAGGTGGGAACTGAACAATGAGATCACTTGGACTCGGGAAGGGGAACATCACACACCGGGGCCTATCATGGGGAGTGGGGAGGGGGGAGGGATTGCATTGGGAGTTATACCTGATGTAAATGACGAGTTGATGGGTGCAGCACACCAACATGGCACAAGTATACATATGTAACAAACCTGCACGTTATGCACATGTACTCTAGAACTCAAAGTATAATAAAAAAAAAAAGTTCTCCTATAAATATAGAAATGTCTATTTCTCCCTTTAAATCAAATCATATAAAAACATATTAACGGTTTTTATGTATTTTTGATGGCTAACCCTTTTCTCCTTAAGCAACAGCACTCCATGCAATAGAGTGTCAAAACAAAGCAAAACAAAACAAAAACAAAAACAAAAACTTGCCCATGTACTCCTGAACTTAAAATTAAAGGTTTTTGTTTGTTTAATTTTTTTTAAGAATAGGTTTTACGTAAAATCATGTACTAGGAAAAGGATGGTGGCTATGTATCTTATTGACATGGTAATACTTGAGATAAGACTTGAAGGAAAAATGAGAGAAGTCTAAACAAAGACACAGAATAGAATATTCCAGGCAGAAAGGCAGGGTTCTCTGCGTTTCTCTCCCATAAATGTGATTTAGATAAAATCTGATCCATCAGCCCACGCTTGAATCAGTGGAGCATGGAAAATAGTTATGTTCCCAACGAACATTACAAACCAAAGTTGACTTCCAGCCCCTTCAGGGCAGTAGAACATATTTTAATCAATGCCCCTTGATAAAAGAGCTTGATTCCAGCTACTGCACTTCCTTCATCAGCTCTCCCCTGATGCCTGGAGCCATGAAAATATTTTTCTTTATTTTTGCTGCTCTCATTCTTCTTGCTCAAATTTTCCAAGGTAAGAGGGAAATTCTTTTAGAGGTAGAGATGATAGTCTGCTCAGGATGTCTTTTGAGAAGAAAGCTTAACTTTTACAAAGTTGAAGGTTCCAAGGCAAACCAGTCACTGAAAATCTTTTCCTGAGCTCAGACACAAAACAACGGGAGCACATTGACCGGGATGTCTCCAACCTTAACAGTATCTGGTCAACTTCCCTCAACAGCTCTGCTAAGGAATTCAGACTTCTTTGTACTTTTAGATCTCTTTCCTCCTTTTATAATCTGCAACACAGGTTCAGCACTTTTTTTTTTTTTTTTTTTTTTTTTTTTTTTTTTTGAGATGGAATCTCATTCTGTGGCCCAGGCTGGAGTGCAGTGGCGCGATCTCGGCTCACTGCAAGCTCCGCCTCCCGGGTTCAGGCCATTCTCCTGCCTCAGCCTCCCGAGTACCTGGGACTACACACACCCGCCACCACGTCCGGCTAATTTTTTTTGTATTTTTAGTAGAGACGGGGTTTCACCGTGTTAGCCAGGATGGTCTCGATCTCCTGACCTCACGATCCGCCCCTCCTCTGCCTCCCAGAGCCCTGGGATTACAGGCATGAGCCACACGCCGGGCCAGGTTCAGCCTATTCCAAAGTGAAAAAAAAAAAAAAAAAAAAAAAAATCTCCAAGGCAAATGCCAAACATATTCGTTAAGTTAGGGAAGTACAGCCTTTGTAGTCTAAATTAAACCGAAGTTGTGTTACTAGATCCTCAGACAGCTAATTTTTTTTCAGGTCTGAGTCGTGGGTCCAAATATCTTATCCATAAATTATTTTAGACTTTTTGGCTTTCACACACTGGTTGAAAATTACACTATTAAAACCACTAAACTAACATCTGGCTTACTAATCTCTTAAGTCTTTGCATCTTTGAGATTCTCTGCTTGATACAACCACGACTGTGTTCCTAAGAAATGCTTATGTCCATACCTCCTCAACTATCCTTCGTTCCTTCTGTTGTGAAGCTTTTCCTATTAGAGGTTCTCCATGCATCACGAAGCCCCCTGTCTTCTCCTTCATGGCTCCTGAATTTCTACATTTCTTTAATATACATTCTGTCCTCAGTAGTCCTAGAAAACCAATAGATATTGAATGTGTGCTAACCACTTACAAGAAATTGTTCTGTCCACTACGATAAAGGTAGGTAAAATAAAAAGGTAAAAATATAATTAAAGCATGGACATTGACCTTAATTTGCTTGAAGTTATTAGTCTATTCTTTCTGTGTTGTTCAAAAAGACATTGCCTGTAGTGGTAAATAAGCTTTCAATACATTTAACATGTATGAGTAAGTATATCAATGAGACAGGAAAATACACAAATAACTTTAATATGAAACAGTTTTCACAAGTGCCGTAAAAGATGCAAAGTATAAAGAGAAGCCATAGATGTGGAAACTTGGTTCTAACTAGGAAATACAGAAAGGTTTCCTGGTAGTACTGTACTTCTGTAGTACAAATACTACAGAAGTAGTATTTGTATTGCACATTTGGAAATAGACAAGACTAGAACTAAAGAACAGAGCCAAAGAACAATTTCCCCATGAAAGTTTCAGTGACTCCATTATTTCAGTGACCTCCTTGACCCCATGAAAGTTTCAGTGACTCCATGAAAGTCTCAGTTGTAAAATCAGTTCCTTATTTTCTGCCCTCAGCATCTTTTCATAGATGTCAGACAATGCTCCGGGATAGATAAACTCCTTTTAAATTGTCTTCCCCACCCACTTTAATCAGTACTCCAATTTATTCAGATCGGTCTATAGATGTGGAGGCATAATAGCTCCCTGTCCACAAAACTCATCTCAGATGTATTTGCATTACAATAATAAGCATAGTTTGGGCACAAATTAGAACCACTACCATCACCATAATCACATAGAATCTCAGAGTTAGAAGTGAATTTAATGGTCAATATAAAAGGCAATAAACATAGGCTGTTAGGCCAAACTGTATGAGTTTGGATCTCAGTGCTAATGTTTATAAGCTGTATGTACCCTCTGTTTTACTTTCCATTCTATAAATGATAATAATAATAGCATTGTTTTGAAGATGAATAAACTTGTTATGCTAATTAGAAACTAACTTGTTATAATCAAGAATCTTAATAATAGAGTGACTGAAGAAAGACAAAACCTTATTTCTCTTTCATGTAAAAGTCCAAAAATAGCTAAGTTGGCTAGGTGAAGGTAGAGGGTTCTCTTTCACTGAGTTTTGTTGTGATTTGGGCTGAAGGTCAACCCTGCCATCCTAAACAGTTGACTGTTTTATTTGGTTCCAAGGATGTTCTAACAGGCAGGGTTAGAAAATATAGAACATGATTAAGATTACATAGAAGCAGTTCACATCATTCCACTCCTTTTTCATTTTTCCAGATTTGTTCATGTGGACATATAGAAATAGAAAGCTAGGAGCTGATGTGATTAGCTAAATATTCATGTGTCCAGAGAAACTCAGAGGTTCTATGACTAAAAGTCTGAAGGTAAAAATAACTGCTTTGGGACAGTTTAACAATCTTTCTATATAACTGCTTGGGCAGTGGCAGGCACATACTCTATGCTATGTTAGAGTTTACCATTGTTTAACTGTCATTTGTTCTTCTACTTATTTTTTTGTTCTCTGCCATGATGCAGTATTCAACACCCTATACATGATTATATGTGTGTGTGTGTGTGTGTGTGTGTGTGTGTGTGTGTGTGTCAATTGATTGTCCAGATGCCTGATAAATTTCAGTGATCTATAGCTCACAGTATCCCAAGTTCAACTTTGGACTATTTAAACATTTCTCCTTAATTGGAGCAGAAATCTAAGTCCCTGAAATTTCTTTCCATTAGTCTTTGCCTTAACTTGGCACTAACAAAATATATTCCACATGATAATATTTCAGATATATGGCAGCTAATATGTACTATTCTTCCCCGAAAATTGTTTTTTCCAGGAATAAACGTTACTCCTTTTGAGAATAACTGCTACTTCTTCCACTATTTTTTCCTAAGAATGTATCTTACCAATTAAAAAAGTTCCTGTTTTGACATATTTTTTTTCTCTTCAACCTAATCTCTGTTATGAATGAATACACATTGCCTATGTCCCTCCAAATTTGCTTGCCAGAACTAAATACATGATTCCATTGGTATTCTTTGCACAGTAAATTGAGAAGGACTAGCATCATGTTGTTTATCTTTCTACCTAAAACTGTGAGACTCCAAAACCATACGCCAGGGCATATGATCTACTATTGGTCTGCCTGTAATGTAACAGAACAATCTTTAACTTTTGCTGTAAATCAGAGACTATTTGGAGACACGAAAAAAAAATCTGGTGATAAGGATGGTTCATTGGAATTAGAAAATACTTTGTCACCTTCCTTGGAAGAAACATTCTGTTTCTGTACAAGCTAGATATGATTTTGACATATGAAAATCTTTTCTGTTTTTTTCCAATTAGCTATTTAATAAGGACATTGATTATATTGTACCAGGGGTGTGAGCTCAGACATGACTATTCAGATAACATTTGATTTTTCTAATTTCTAGGTTTATAGTCTGTGTCTCTAGGAGTTATGGTAATGAGGAAGTCTGAATTTGGCCTGGGCAATGTAATTTTATCTTATAGTTACTAATTAATAGATAACTAAAGACAAATTGCTTTCTTTACTTAGCCAGGACAGCAATTCATAGAGCACTAATTTGTAAGAGAATGGAAGGTCACTGTGAAGCTGAATGTCTTACCTTTGAAGTAAAGATTGGGGGCTGTAGAGCTGAATTAACACCATATTGCTGCAAAAAGAGAAAGAAAGATTAAAAACTAAGCACCAGCTGCAAGAATGAAAGAGGTGAAGATTCTCTGGCTGCGATATCAGTGGGACAAATCTCTCTGCACCGTCTCTCTTTGATCTGCAAAGTTTGGATTATCTGAAACCATGTCAGTCCAGCTTCCAATGCTACAAGGAGATACCCTTCCTAGGCTGTGAACTTCTTCCAGGCAGACACTATATCTTGTTGACCTCTGCACTGTCAATTCCTGACACAGGGCCTATTCATGATTTTTTTCACTTTATAAAAAAGTGAGCCATTGAATAAATAGATAAAACAGATGGAATGGAATGGTTGGACTGGCACTCAGGTGAATTGAGTTCTAAAGTTATAGCTCTGGCTTTAAACAGTTGTAGGACACTGGGCCCTCTGTGCCAAGATTCTGATATCTATAATGTGAGCAGATTGAACCTCTCAGTAAAGGGAATACCTGCCAGATGCTAATTGTGGCTGCTTCAGCAGTATCACTGTCATGTACTCCTTTCTCTCTTTTATAGGTAGGAATTGTTTAGAGTCTTGTTCATTTACCTGTTAGATCTAAAACATCAAGTTTTAGAATGAAATGCACCCATATCAAAATTCAAGTTGACTGCAGGTGGAGCAATATCTTCATTCTGGCCATTTGCAGTGAGAATGGATCAAATCATGGGTTTCTAAAGCAGTAAGTTCCCTAAAGGTCATCGAATTCAATGCCCTTATTACAAATGAGGAGAGTGAGACTCAGGAAGGTTATACAGTTACTGACTTAGTCACATTTCTATTCCAACTTTGGGCTTTCTGGACTTGCCTGCTTAGCATGTCCACAAAATAGCATGCTGGAGGGTAACAGAACAACAAAAGGCAATCCTAAAGATGGAACGTTTCTCAGCGTGTTCAGGTGAACAGTTAAATGGAGGAAGAAATGGAAACAAACTGAAAAAGAAAACATAGAAAGAAAAAATAAAAAGACACTTTCTAAAATCTCTGTTGTGATCCTGCAATCCCTGCCCTTTCAGATGATAACAATGATAACAATGGCAAACCGAGGCTTGCCTTTTCCCTAATTTGCCAACATTTGGAGTCCCAGCTTTCGAGCAGAGGAAAGCATGTATCACAGACTATTTCATCATAGAAGTCTTATAGCACATCCTCCCAGAACAGAAGCAGCAAAATCCCTCTGCGCTGCTCCAGAAAATTCTCTTCTCTATTCAATTAAGCTGGCTTCTTATACAGATGCAAATAAAAGAGAAAAAATATCTGGAATAAGACAATGTGCAAAATGTTTTAAAATAAGAAATAAAATGTATTTTTGAAAGATCTTCTGGTATTGCCACTTGTCTTCATGGTGCTAATTTTCTTATTCTTAAAACTATGCTGGAGGAAATTATGTAAAGTTATCTGTTTCAATCAGAGGATTTTTCTGTTTCTGCATTTTCCCTAGAAATTCCTTATCCATTGTCTCACATAAAACTAACTGCCTTTGAGAATCTAAGTGTGTTTAGGCTTTCTCATTTCTTCTTTTTTTCTTTTTCCTCTTCTTTCTCTGTCAATGTCAAATGACTTGAAATACAGCATACATTTCCTGTCTCCAGTGTTTTCATACCCTATTTCCTTCTCAACCTATAGAGATGTCTTAAAGCCAGGCATGGAGGCTCATGCCTGCAATTTCAGCACATTGGGAGGCCAAGACAGGAGGATCCTTTGAGCTCAGAAGTTCAAGACCAGCCTGGACAACAGAGGGAGACCCCATCTCTACAAAAAATTTTAAAAATTTAGGCCGCGTACAGTGGCTCATGCCTGTAATCTCAGCACTTTGTGGGGCCGAGGTGGGCAAATCATGAGATCAGGAGCTCGAGACCAGCTTGGCCAACCTAGTGAAACCCTGTCTCTACTAAAAATATAAAAATTAGCCAGGCATGGTGGCACACATCTGTAATCCCAGCTACTCAGGAGCCTGAGGCAGGAGAATCACTTGAACCCCGGAGGCAGAGGTTGCAGTGAGCCAAGATCATGCCATTCTACTCCAGCCTGGGTGACAAAAGCAAAACTCCGCCTCAAAAAAAAAAAAAAAAAAAATAGCCAGGTGCAGTCCTGATTGATTGGGGGTTGAGCCCTGGAAGTTGAGACTGCAGTGAGTCAGTGCACTCCAGCCTGGATGACAGAGTGAGACCCTGTTTCAAAAGAAGAGGAGGAGGAGAAGGAGGAGGAGGAAGGAGAAGGAGAAGGAGAAGGAGAAGGAGAAGGAGAAGGAGAAGAAGAAGAAGAAGAAGAAGAAGAAGAAGAAGAAGAAGAAGAAGAAGAAGAAGAAGAAGAAGAAGAAGGAGGAGGAGGAGGAGGAGGAGGAGGAGGAGGAGGAGGAGGAGGAGGAGAAGAAGAAGAAGAAGAAGAAGCAGTGGAGGAGGAAGGAGGGAGGGGGAGGAGAGGGGGAGGAGAAGGAGAAGGTGAAGGAGAAGATTATTTTAGCTGTCATCACACTAATGGAATTTCTCTTTATAAAGCTACCAGGTACCTCCTTAGTCACTTAATAGTAGCTGTTCTCTTAATAAATTACCAGGGTTGACTCCAGTGACCTATGGACAGTATTCATCTTTCAGGCCTTTTCTGAAACATTTTACAAGGTGATCTATCTCCTGCACCTTAATTTCTCTCTCTTCTGCCTGTGAGAATGTTTGTCTGCTGGACATTTCTCTTTGTCTTCTCCACACATTCTCAGTCTTCTTTGCTGACTCTTGCTAATATTCTCTTGGCTGGGATTGCTTTAACCTATGTTTCATTCTCTTCTTATTAAATGTGTTATCTCTAAACAATCTCCTCCATTCCATTGGTTCCCACTCTTTATGTACTAATGACAGGGTGTTACTTCTTTACTTTTATGACTTCTTTGCTCTGTGGTGCTGTGCTGAGACTCTGAAAACTACATTTGTCATAATTCTTGGCCAGTTAGCACCTTTAATGAAAGGTATTAGCAGGAGAGTGGAAAACAAAACGAGGAGTGAAGGCATCTGTTCCTATGCTGTTTTTGTCAGCAGCATTCCAGTGGCACCAGATGGTTGGCTCCACGCTTCAGGCTTTATATTCTTTCCACTTTTTCAGCAGCCCCACAAGTGTGCTAGAAAAGGACCAGCAGCATCTTAGCTCTACCTCCTTGGTTGTAAGAGGACCAGCTGAGCTACAATCTGCTTTTCTATGTACCTTGTCTATCCACGCACCTGTTGGACCATGTCTCCTCCTCAGAAGTACTGAACACTGGCTATCAAGTGCCTCTGCCTCATTTGCCTGCACATCAGTCATTGAGCATTGCTCCCTTAAAATTTTAAGCATGACTTATGTGGTGTACCCCACTAAGAGACCTGGGCACCTGGTACTGTGTCTCCGCCTTATAGGCTCAAGCTCTAGCTACGTACAAGTAAGAGAATTTTGAGCAGTAGCCCCCAAGAGTACCTTTACTCCTTTGTTCCTATGTTTAAAAGTGATATGTCTTTTGTGTGGTTATCTCCGTGCCTTTTCAACCTTCCATTACTTATATATCCAATTTAAGTTTATTGAGCTACTCTAAGTGGATTTCTGATAGGCACTTCAAAGGTAATGTCTTTATTGCAATTTATTGGTTTGTTTTCAAATCTGGTCTTCATTTAATATTCTAAACCTTAGAAAATATTGCTATCATTTACTTGACATTCAGGTTAAAAGTAGAGGTTTACTCAAGAATGCTTACTTTTCTGAATCAGTCACACAATTTACTCATGACATTAATCTGCATAAATTGCTCATTAATCCTTGTAAATCTTAATGCAATTATCTCCTTCCCTCTTCCTCCTTACTGTTGTTGTTCTAGATCACTGCCTTATTATCTTCAGCCTCTACTCTTACTCTGTCAAACTTGGTGTTAACAAATTCATCCTCACTACCAATTATCTAAAATTTACTTATAATTTGTGGATTGAACTTTGCATGAAGTAAAGGAAGAGTTTTACTTTTTCATGATGTAGGAGCACACACATGAGCACACACACACACATGAACTGACAAACCATAAAAGTTAGTGTAAGATTTGTATTCAGATGTCTATGAATCCTTAGAACACTCAAATATTAGAACTAGAAGTAGCCTTAGAGATCACTTAAGTCCCAGTTTCCAGAACTATATTGATTAATTATAATCAGTGTAACAAGCCTAGAATACTTACAATTAGAGCTCTATGCCCCACTCTAACACTTTCAAATTGGGATCTCTTAAGCTAAGAATCTAAATTTGTAAAATGACTTTTCCAATTAAGTCTCCTGCACAGTGACATTTTAGACCTGTTGATCACTGAACACAGAAGCATCTGAGATCCATTGATCTCTGTCCCACACCTCCAGTTAGTTGCAGAAATAGATCTAGGCTCAAATCCAGGATTTCTGCCTTCATGTCCAGTGGCATATCACTGTGTTGCAATTTTCATTTGTAAATGAGATATGGAGAGGTCATGACCAAGTGGTTCACCTTGCTCAACCCCAGGAACAGAAGCTCAGATTTTATTGGGTAGACAGACACATGTACAGCAAATGAATATTCCATGTGTTAAGTTCTATAGCCTGATCCAAGATGTGTGTGAGTTTAGAACATGTGCGGTTAGACTAATTATGACTGGAGTCATTGAGGTCAAGAGAGGTGTCACAGACAAAATGCCCTGTGACCATTTAAACCAACTGGTTTATCAACTTAGCGTAAATCACTTTAACTGAAACTGAAGGAGTGTTGTTGCTGAACTTCCTTTGTTGGCAATATGTTTGTAGTTTATGTTCCCATTTGACAATAATTTCCATTCAAAATTGTTCACTTTCATTCTTCTGGGGAACTGAACCGAATATGTTAAGGACTCTCTGTTCTCTTATGAAAGCCATTCTGCTCATATGGTGCACTTCTGTCCCTGGTTGTCTATATTGAGGTACAGAAAGGTCTTTTTTATCCAAACAAAGACATTCCACTGGCCCAGGTGAGCTGCTGACCAAAATGAAGCCACCTATCTCCTGTCTCTATGGACACCTTCACCTGTGAGGACTATTATCATTCTCATTTGCCACTTAATTTTTTCCCTATTTCACTTTTTTTTTTTTTTTTTTTGAAACAAGTCTCACTAGGTGGCAAAACCATCTGTGGAAGCCTTGACAAGTTTAATGAAACTGAGACCTTGAGGGAATCCACTGGGCAAAATCTCCAGTATCTATATATGGAGAAGGGGCTGTATGAGAAACCATGAAAACTGATGACAGAGAGAACTGTAGTTGTCTAACCTGTGCATGAGCCCTTCCAACTGTCTGAACTGCAGAGCAGACCGGGTAAAGGCTGACTAAGATGAACTGCAGTAAGAGGTGCTTCAGGTGTCGGGATCCACCTCTGCTTCATCACTGAAACTGAACAGGATCTGAGTGGTAGAAAATGGGGCACTTTCCTGATTTTCCTTTTTTTTTTTTTTTTTTTTTTTTTTGAGACAGAGTCATTCTGTTGCCCAGTCTGGAGTGCAGTGGCACCATCATAGCTAGGATTACAGGCACATGCCACCATGCCTGGCTAAATTTTTTTATTTTAGTAGAGATGAGTTGTCACTATATTGCTTAGGCTGATCTCAGACTCCTGAGTTCAAGCAATCCTCTTTAGTAATTTTAAGAAACTTACGAGAGAGCTATGACAAAGCTCTGTGGACCCAAGGCAAAGAGTGTAACAGGGGTTGACTTGTAAGGATCACCATCAATCTTAGAAACCTAACCCATAGTCCTCCAATACTGCTGTTCTTCTGGGCTTGACTCTGTTCCTAGGACTTTATTCCACTCCTTGACTGTACCTGTTTTTTTGTTTTTGTTTGGTTTTGTTTTTTTGGCCAACCCTTGGTCTTTTCAAATAGAACTTACAGAGATCAAAACTCTGACTCTGAAACTGAGTGTACTGCTTCACATTCAAGGTAGGAAGAGGAACTACAGGTATGAAGTCTTCTGCACAGACAGGCTTTAGAGCAGCTCTGAATCAGACTCCCTACCTTTGTCCAAGGAAATGCATGTGCATTAGGATCAGATCCCCTCTGAGGAGGTAGGGCTGGTTATGCCCAGAAAGTGATGTGGACACAGGTTGCCTTATAGACACTGCATTGCATTTTAGATGGACCACTTTTCATCAGGCCTTCTTAGTGACCCAATCAAACAGCCTTCCTACAACCATGTGCTTTGGTAGGTTGTAGTTTCTTCTGAAAAAGCTAAGGAAATTTTCTAAGGTAGGACAGGAAAATCTTGTTTTAGATTGTAATAATAAATCATAATTTAAAAAATTATGATTTTTTTCACTCGGCTTTTATCAGATCCATTTTCTAGGCAACGAATCAGAGACTCAGAGACACAGTGAGCAGATCTTAATTTACCCAGACATTCATTTAGAGGGCTTAGTTTCTCATAATGGGCTTCCAAATGTAGACAATGTATGTCCCATGTAGACCCGAGACGAATCCATTCACTCTATTTGAAGACTCCTCAAACTCATATTTTGTAGAAATCAAAAAACAAAATACTTGGTAGAGAAGGTGGATTAGTGTCTGAATGGTACATACAGGCAGAGCTACATTACTTGGCTCCTATGTGAAGAGAGAGGGAACTGCAGAAAAACTAAATGGGAGGGCTCATATATATGAATTTCTTCAGTTGAAATTGTACACAGTCCTGGCTCCTTAATCTGTGTCCACTTCCCAGCAGGTATGGGAGGTATGAGCTGAGCTCAGGAGAAACAAACTTAGCTCTGGAAATCTGGAGAAGCAGTGGGCAGGGCTGATCCCCCAAGTACCCTGATGAATCCCAGTGTTCTTTCTGCTCACTTACCTAAGGGAAGTTATTCAAATTTTAAATCCATTTTGAATCAAAATATTTATATATGTATATTTTTTAAAAACTTAAAATTGAAAGAAACTGGTATTAGTTATGGGAAAACCAGAAGGGTACCCTCATTTGGAAATAATCTTTGAGAAATCTTTGCAGAATGAACAGTTGGGATTTTGATCTTTCCAAAATCCAGCTAGCATGCACTTAAGAAAAAGGAAAATCAGGACATTTAGAAAATGAAATGTTAACTTATATATTTCACTTTAACATTTATTAAGGATATTAATGAGGCAATTGAAAATTGAAAATGCAGTTTGGCTATTTTAAAAAATCTTCTTGTGTGAGAGTAGACTTCCCTTGGTAAATGTCCACGGAAATATTGAACATTTAATTTTTCATTACTTCTAAACAAAACCATGTATTTCCTAGAAGGTACGCATTTTGCATGCCTCAATATCCATAGTTGTCACAAAATACTCAGAAACAGAAAACAAAGCATTAAACTATCCCATATTTTAAATTAAAAATATTTTTAAAAATAACTGACAACACTGAAATATGTGAAATTACAATATATTCTGAAATGATTACCTAAGAAAATTAGGGGATGTCATCCACGTTTGTCTCAAAGGAATTCAGATTTATGATTCATCTTAAGAAATGCGAAAAAGAACACATTAAATATAAAGATGGATAAAGGAATTTATGAATATACACAGTAAATATTGTTCTAAAGCAATGATTCGGGCCTCCTGGACCCAGCGCAGGTCCTGGCCCAAGAAGTCCCTGGAACAGAGCCCCTGCTTTTGTCCCTGCCTCCTGGGTGAATGAGGAATAGAAAAGGAACCTACATTCCTCATCCTTGGTGTGAATTTGCATGCTCCCCACAGACCAAGTGTGGCAATTCAGTTGTAGCTCTGACAGTAAATGGCCCGTTCTGACTGGGCTGGTGGGGGTCCTGGTCCAGCCACCTCCAGCCAGGTGCCCCTGGGTCGCGAAGGCGCCACACCTGCTCCACTCAAGACGTGCAGCTCCACCCACTCACGCTAGAGAGGAAGAACTTCTGCCATAAACTTTTGTTGTTATTGTTTTGTTTGGTTTGGTTTGAGACAGGGTCTGGTTCTGTTGCTCCGCCTGGAGTGCAGTGGCCCCATCACGGCTCGCTGCAGCCTCGACCTCCTGGGCTCAAGTGATTCTCATGCTTCAGCCTCCGGAGGAGCTGGGACCACAGGCACCCACCACCACACCTGGCTAAGTTTTCATATTTTTGTAGAAACAAGGTCTCGCTCTGTTGCCCAGGCTGGTCTCGAACTCCGCCCACCTCAGCCTCCCAAAGTGCTGGGATTCTAGGTGAGAGCCACTGCACCCAGACTCCTAAACAGTTTTTAATTTGTCCAGAAGGAACCGGATCATCAACCTATGTAAGTGGTCTGACTACCCTGACCATAAAGTATCAGAAACATTCAACTTGCAGAGAGTGGAAGCAGCCCAGCCCCACTGCACATAAAACACTCGTGTGGTGGCAAACACGGAGACCAAGGCTGCACTGGCCGGAAGTGGGGACAGATCCGGATACGCCCTGGGGACACAGCAGGGAACCTCAGGCCCGGACCACACTGGTTCTGCCCTCTTTCTGGCCCACCCGGACCACACTGGTTCTGCCCTCTTTCTGGCCCACTACCCCATCCTGAGACCGCAGGTTCCGGCGGACCTGGATGCAGATTTTCCGGACGAAAGGCCTCTTTCCTGGAGTGGACTTCGATATTTTCTGTTCACAACTCCGTGTCGCCGCCCTCCACACCTAGGATCTGGCGTCTGGCGTCACTGCCGACGTCACAATCCCCGCACCTACTTGTCTCAGCCGCGGAAGCTCTACGTAGCTGTCAGGCGCTGGGAGGTTGGTGCCCCGCCATGTTTTTCTGCCTTTTGTCTTTTCACCTTCTCCCTTCCCCACCCAGTGCCCCGTCTAAGTCCCCACTCGGAAGTGGATTCTCACCCCTCGCGGCCCTTTGTGGGCAATGCCAGGAGGAGGAAGACCGCAACCTCCCGCTGGCTTTGGGATATCTTAGACATCAGTAGTCTCCTAAGGCCCTCCACGCTGTCCGCACCCCTCCTTCATCCTCGCGTCTCTTGGGACCCTGTCCTGCTGCCCTCAGTCCTCTCCTTAGTCGCAGACTCGGAGAGGCCCCTGAACCCCCTCGGCTTGGACATCACCGGCCACCGTCCTGTGACACCCTGTGATCTTCTGTCCCAAATCTCATTCCACTGACTGTGCCTGTCAGGGTATGCTTAAGATTTTTGGTGTCCCAATGTAAAGTGTGGTCTTATTGGCAAAGGGAACTCTTCATTCTGTTCTTGTGAATGTAGATGTGAAGCCAGGGGATAAGGAGAAAAGAGAGGCCAAAAGAGAATCAAAGAGCCAGGGAGCCAGGGAGAGTGAGGTTGAAAAAGAAGGTAAAATTGACTACTGGGAAGCTGTCTCTGATGGATTTTGAAAAGCAGTGATAATGAAAGATTTCTAGAAGCTTTGTAGAAGGTGTTGAAAAAATAGTGAAAGTTTTGTGGGCAAGAAGTAGTGGGATAGATGACATAGACAAAGAGAATCAGGAGAGAGGTGGAGGACAGAATAGAAAGGGGATTTTGACCAACCATAGCAGGGAGGAGTAAAGGAAAGATAGATCCCTAATTCATTAGGGTTTTTTAAAAAAATGCCTTAATTATATACTCTTTTAATTTTGTTTCAAATTCAGATGATGAGGCCTCAGTTTTTCAGTCTTTATTTTATTTTGGGAATATCTTTTAGTACTTAGTAAAAGGATTTTATGCTATTTCAATGTGTTCTTGGAAAGGATCTTGTTTTTTTTTATATTAACAGTGAAAACCTAGTTTAATCAGTAAGTCTGTTCTTCTACTGTTTCCATTATTTCCTTACATGGCCTTTTAACTGGGTCTGTAAAATACAATTTTCTGTGAAGTGTATGTTCCCTTGACCTCTCTCTGTAAAATTTTCAAGGATGGGATGAAGTAACCAGGAATTTTGTTCTAACAGAGCCATTCTGTTCCTGATTACTAAATTGCTCAGAGCTATTTCAATCCAATAATTAGGTATCCTTAATTTCATAGTTTTGATAATTAATGAGTTGTTCTGGAAAAAAGGAATTAAATACTTGAAATCAGATTATTGTGATTAAAATCATGAGAAAGAAGTTGCTCAAAAGTATGAAATATGGCATAGAATCTTTAGGGGAAGGAGAAGGACAAACCTTATCACAGTTTGTCACAGCGCATAATTCTAGTGAAGCTAGTGGTGATTCTCTACTGGCCTCTACAGTAGGTTCTCTACTGGTTCTCTACAGTACTCTCTACTAGCCTCTCCTACTGACCTTGCCTGCCCCAAGACCCAAGTACAGAATGTCAAGACAGTTTGATGGGGGGAGAGTCAAGACTTTTTAAACTAAGTACAGAACAAAAGTATCTCTCCAATTAGGAGGGGACACTTGGTGCTGTAAAGTGAGCTTGGAGAATGACAAGAAACATGCTGTTTGTGAGTTAAGGATCCAGAAATGGGAGAGAGACTGGGAAGTTCAACAAGAAACATGAAAATCTCTGCCCATCCTCACCTGGTGACCCTGTGCTTAGCAGCTACAAGAAGAGAATATGGGGACTGTTTTCAAGGAAAGGTCAGTCTAGCTCACATACTCCACTGTTACTATGTAATGTGTGGGTTTCAGTAGGATAGAAGAGTTTTCCACAGGCAGTGGCAGAAAACTCCACCTGTTTGTCTTCATTAGAAGGTTATTGCCCCTGAATCATTGATGTTTTGGTTGATGGGAGAGCACTATCTTATCTACATGTTAAATTCCTCCCCATGAGCATGGTTGTGGCAAAGGAAGGGGTTATGTTCATGTCAAGCCCTGGAAGTCACATTCTCATTACTCAAGGTGATTTCCCAAGATGGATCTTGCCAGAGAAAAACAGAGAGAAAACTTAGAGAAGGATCAAGGAGTCAGGAACGGCTCTTAAAAAAAAAAAAAAAGAAGAGGTTGTATTTTTAATTGATGGTGCTGCCTTCCCATTTCTGAAATGCTGTTTTTAGGATGTGCTAATGTCTTATTTAAATACCCTACCTAACTCATTTGCTAGCACTCTCTAGTGGCCTTTCCTAAGCCCCTTCCCATCTATAATCAGATTCTGTCTCACCATGAATGAGCAACATGAAAATTGTGAAGTGACTTTATTTATAGGGTCATCATGGGAAGGGCTTCTTGCTCAGACATATATGGGAAATGAGGAGTATGTTCCTTACTATCAGTGAGGTTGGGCAGCTGGCATTTTTTAGCGCACACAGCTACATGCACTGTCAGGTACCTGTAGACCAGGATTAGAGAAACTGCATGTACAAGTAATATATTAATGTTCAGTAATAGTTGGATAATCCTGGAAAAGAAGATTGATAAAGTGAAACTTGCTCTACTTGATTTTTTTTTGTTGTTATGAATTTGAAATGTAACAAAGTGAATCAGTGTGTATCAAGCCTGAAAGTATTAATGATTTGGAATAGAAAGGAGAAGTCTGAAGCTGACACCACTAAAAAATTAAAATGACATTTTGTCAACACGAAAGAAAGTGTTATATTCTGTAATTGCTTTTAAAAAAATGAGACTAACCTAAACATCTAACAGTAGGAATTTATTAAATTATTCACAACAGACCCATCCCAAGGAGACCTTACTTTTCATGGAATTTTAAAGAATGCTTTAGTGGTTATTCCAGTGTACCAATGAAATCACTGAATTGTCTGGAAAGGCTTGAGGGTTCCTATGCTTTGGGCAAGTTGGAGTTTGCTGGGTCGAGAGATGGTACATTCATATTTTGATAATTTTGGGAAATATCTTCCCACCCCCTCCAAAACTGCAAATACATTCTGACCCACCAGCAACCTGTGAGATTTTCCTCCTATTTTAACTTGATACCACATACTTTAATCTTTTTTTGCAGAAATGGAAAAATGATAACTCTTTGTATTTATTTCCATGTAATTGATTACTAATGGCAGACAATACATTTTATTAATATTTTATTTTTAGACATGTACATGTAAATTTATTTTCTACTTGACTCCTCTCATTATATTTTTAGATAGTTTTAATTATGCATGTGTATAAATATATATGCACTTTGTGTGTTTTTGTTATAATTTTTCTGCAGTGAAACATACAACTTTCCTTGATGCCCCCGGTTGTTTTTTGTCCTCCTCTGGAAAGTCTACCCTATTTATTTATTATAAAATACTATGTTCATTTCATCCCTGATATTATATTGTTTAAAGTTGTTTGTTGTAGATGTTCAGTTTGATTTATTTTTATTTTTCAAATAATTTAGATGCAGATCTAATTTGACAAATCTCTACCTTGTATTTCTTTTCACAGTTATTTTGGCTTTGTCCTTACTGAAAATCAAAATTGATATTTAGACCTTTTTAATTTTTTTTATTTTACTTTAAGTTCTGGGATACCTGTGCAGAATGTGCAGGTTTGTTACATAGGTATGCATGTGCAATGCTGTTTTGCTGCACCTATCAATCTGTCATCTAGGTTTTAAGCCCTACATGCATTAGGTATTTGTCCTAATGCTCTCCCTCCCCTTATCCCGACTCTCGACAGGCCCTTGTGTGTGATGTTTCCTTCCCTGTGTCCATGTGTTCTCACTGTTCTTTCCCTGTGTCCATGTGTCCCACTTATGAGGGAGAACATGCGATGTTTAGTTTTCTGTTCCTGTGTTTGCTGAGAATGATGGCTTCAAAATTCCTTCATGCCCCTGCAAAGGACATGAACTCATATTTTTATGGCTGCATAGTATTCTGTAGTATATATGTGCCACATTTTCTTTATCCAGTCTATCATTGATGGGCATTTGGGTTGGTTCCAAGTCTTTGCTATTGTAAATAGTGCTGTAATAAACATATGTGTGCATGTGTCTTTATAGTAGAATGATTATAATTGTTTAGGTATATACCCAGTAGTGGGATTGCTGGGTCAAGTGGTATTTCTGGTTCTAGATCCTTGAGGAATCACCACACTGTCTTCCACTATGGTTGAACTAATTTACACTCCCACCAACAGTGTAAAAGTGTTCCTATTTCTCTGCATCCTTGCCAGCATCTGTTGTTTCCTGACTTTTTAATAATCACCATTCTAACTGGCATCAGATGGTATCTCATTGTCGTTTTGATTTGCATTTCTCTAATGAGCCATGATGACAAGCTTTTTTTCATATGTTTGGTGGCCGCATAAATGTCTTCTTTTGAGAAGTGTCTGTTCACATCTTTCACCCACTTTTTGATGGTTTTTTTTTTTTTTTTTTTTGTAAATTTGTTTAAGTTCCTTGTAGATTCTGGATGTTAGACTTTTGTCAGATGGGTAGCTTGCAAAATTTTTCTCCTGTTCTGTACATTGCCTGTTCATTCTGATGATAGTTTCTTTTGCTGTGCAGAAAGTCTTTAGTTTCATTAGATACCATTTGTCAATTTTGGCTTTTGTTGCAATTGCTTTTGGTGTTTTAGTTATGAAGTCTTTGCCCATTCCTATGTCCTGAGTGGTATTGCCTAGGTTTTCATCTGGAGGGACAACCAAATATCTTATGTTCTCACTTATATGTGGAAGCTAAGCTATGAGGATGCAAAGGCATAATAAGAATGGTAAAATGGACTTTGAGGACTCCAGGGAAAGGGTGGGTGGGTAGTGAGGGATGAAAGACTACACATTGTGCAGGGAACACACCACACCAAAATCTCAAAAATCACCACTGAAGAACTTATCTATGTAACCAAACACTACTTGTTCACAAAAATCTATTGAAATAAATAAAAATAAAGAGGCACTCAACAATCCCCCAGAAATCTGCATATAGCTTTTGACTCCCCCAAAACTTCCCTAATAGTCTACTGTTGACTGGAAGCCTTAGTGATAATATAAAGCCATTTAATACATATTTTTATGTTATATGTACTATATACTCTATTCTTACAATGAAGTAAGCTAGAAAATAAAATAGAAAGTAGGACAGGGGATACTAGAGGCAGGGCAGGGTAGTGGGACTAGGGCAGAAAGGAAAAAAAATTGTTAAAGGATATAAAACTATAGCCAGATAAGAGGTATTAAGTTCCAATGCTTTATAGCAGTGTAGGATGACTTAGTACTTTTTGCTCATCAGGTCTGATTAACATGATGTAACTAACGTGGTGGACCAATGTGATGTTCTGTGGACTTTCTAGGGGATCCAAGTCCCTCCAGACTATATTGAGGCAGAGAACTGGAGTGTTAACATAGCTCTGGGGAAAGACCATGATTTTGTCTGTTATTAATATTTGTCCTTTTTAAATGGAGACTGCTTCTAATCCTCATTCTTGACAGATATTGAAAAGAACACATTCACTAGATGAGTAGCTGCACATCTTACATCAGAGACTGTGCTACTCTGCTCTGGTAATTTACTACTACTAGCATAGCTGTGAAATTGAGGCTGCCACTTAAAAAAATTCAAAAAACTATAAAAACAAAACACAAATAAATAAAATAATGACTAATTACAACAATGACCATTATTACATTAATGGTATTAATTATGCTATTGATAATGATTAGAAAACCCCAAGGGGCTTAGAAATTATAGTACAGTCTTCCCTAACTGAATAAGGCATCTATAACAGGCCTAATGGACTAGACTGGAGCCCAAGCCCTAGGTGTGCACAAGGAAATATGTCACAAGAGGCAAAAAAGAACAGGAGGGAAAAGAGAATCAGCTTGGAGAAGGGCGATGGGAGAATGCGAGAATTTCTGCATAAACACCTAGCAGAGAGGTCAATGGGTGCTGGTAGAGGGATTCTGGTCTGAGACCTGTCTGCAGAATGACACCTATCGGATTTAAGGACTTCAGCCAGCTGCCTGACAGGCTGGTATTAATACAAGCAAAGTTTTGGGTGTATTGATAAGTTTTTAGATTCAACTCCAAGGCAAGATCTGGGAGATAAATAATTGATCAAAGAAATAATTTATCAAAATTAAAATCTTCTACTCTGCCAAAGGCACTGCCCAGATCATGAGAAGAGAAGCCACATACTATAGGAAAATCAATTGCAAAAGGCATATCTGATAAATGACTGTTACTCAAAATATACAAAGAATTCCAAAGATTGAGCAATAAGAAATCAATGACCTGATTTAAAAATGTGCAAAATACCTGAAAGGATACCTCACCACAGTAAATATACAGATTGCAATAAGCATAAGATGGGATACTCAATATTATATATTATCAAGTAATTGAAAATTAAAACAACAATGAGATACCTCTACATTAAAGTGGTGTGGTGGAAGCCTAAAACATTGACAACATCAAATGCTGGCTAGGATGTATAACAAAAGGAACTCTCATTTATTGCAGTTGGGAATGCAAAATGATATGGCTACTTTGGAAAACAGTTTGGCAGTTTCTTTCTTTCCTTTTTTTTTTTGAACAGTCTTGCTCTGTTGTCCAGGCTGTGACGTGATCTCGGCTCACTGCAACCTGTCTCCCGGGTTCAAATGATTCTCCTGCCTCAGCCTCAGCCTCCTGAGTAGCTGGGATTACAGTTGCCTGCCACCACCCCACTAATTTTTTGTATTTTTAGTAGAGACAGTTC